GTTGAAGTCCGTCGACAACACCAACAAACTGTATCGAAACGGACTGCGCATGCTCTGGGCGCTGAAGCGCAGCTTCTGCACTTGGTCTGAGGACGTCGCCACTCGCCTCTTCTCTTCCATCGTCAGACCAATGGTAGAGTACGGCTCGCCTGCATACTGTCCGATCACTCGCGGCGAAGCGCAAAAATCGAACGAGTACAACATGTCGCCACCAAGTTGATCCCCAGCTTGAGAGGTTTATCGTATGAAAACCGGTGCATGAAACTTGGGCTCTACACCTTGTCGTATCGCCGTGTTCGAGTGGATCTTATCATGACCTACCGTATTTTACATCTCGGTCATTTCCCCATGCTGAGGTCGTTAGTCCACTTGCGAGTACCATGCACCACACGTGGGCACAGGTACAAACTCGTGGTACCTGATCTGAAGAAAATCCCACACCCCCTGTGTTTCGAGCGGAGGGTTGTGCACGCCTAGAACAGTCTGCCAGAACACATCGTCGAGGCCGAATCTGTGCAGAAATTCAAATCTTTGTTGGATTTACACTTCGCTAACATACGTTTCGGAGAACGGTTGCCACTTGACAACGATATCACCCACTTGTGACTCACTGTGTGAACAAGCATTTTGTGTGCTACAAAAGGAGTTGCTGAACCATCTCAGGATAACCCCCGGACGTGTTTATTTATTTTAAATGTTTTTGATTATCACCCGATGGAGTTGTACAGAATTATTTTCGACTTGCTCCAAAAAATACAGTATTAAGACTTATTTGCTTCATAAAACAGCCGTCCACACTTCACTTGTATTTACCTTCTGCCTGCTTTCATTCATGCCGTGAACTTCAACTACACCTGTAGTCATCACTTTAATTTATCATAACCGTTTTCACGAAGCACACATTAATACCACCAAAATTAAAAATATACTATGCAGCCACTTAAACTATCTTGGCTGTCACCGAGGACAATGTAAGTGAAACCCTTTCCCGCCAATAGAGAAATTAGCCCTTCCCGTCTATTTCATAATCATTATGCACGTCAGCTAGAGGTGGGAAACATCTCAGCTACTGTACCACAATACATAAAGGAAAAGGAAGAGAAATACAACAGTTGCATGCCAGCTGAGCTACCAGCAACGGATAGGCATCGTTCCGGTAAGCTACCAGCCGGCTACCATGCAGTAAAAGGAAAACTTATTGTTTTGCGCTACGAAATGAGATCGTAGATGAAGGGGAGACTAAAAGTGATGGGGAGGGAAAAAGAAACTCACAGCAGAAACGCCACTGAGGTGGGCTCCATGCCGTCTATTTACTTGTTTTTGATTGATTTTTTTTCTATTTTTTCGTAATGTCAGACTACGCTGCCCCCTGTGAACTGTGTGAAAATTCCATTGCTTTTCCGTTACCCACGTTTGATGTTTCAAACCCTCGTGTTTGGTTTATTCAGGAGGCCATCTTCCGAGTTAGTAAGATAACTTTGCAACCATCGATGTTTCCCTACGTCACCGCTCATATTCCATCTCAGATAGCCTCGGAGGTGATCGACAATCTTGATCCAATGCCGACGGAATCGCCGATTTAAATCAGCCATCCTAAAGCGCACTACGGCTCCCGATGAAGCACGGCTACACATACTACTTTCAGGCATGGAGCAGTCCGTCTCAGCTCCTCCGGCACATGTGGTCACTTGCGGGTTCCTCGAACTTGGACGATTCCATACTCCGAAAACTCTGAGCTAAGTCCATTCCAGCAAACACCAGCGCGATATTAGAAGTCCTCGCTGATGAACTCCCATTGGACATACTAGCCGAAGCGGCCGACAAAGTCCATGAACGGTTCTTTAAATCTGCTGTGAAGAATGTAGCTAAAATGAGCACCACTAGTCCATCTGGTAGTACCGCAGTTGATGCTATTAGTGAAAGGCTATCTCGGTTAGAAGTTGTCTCACATCGGCCATGAGCGACTTGCTAACCGTAGATTCGTCTCAAGGAGTAAGCGCAGTAGTCGATTCTGCACCAGGCGACCAGGATCATATTGCTACTTCCACCGCCGTTGCGGTGATGCTGTTCGCAATTGGCGTCCAGCTTTTAAATACTCGAAGACGTTTTCGGATTCTAGGCAGGGAAACGACAACGCCAGCCAGTGATGACGACGGCTGTTGCTGGTCAAACTATTAGTCCTCTCTTGTATGTTTTCAATCCTAACACTAAACCAGTTTTTGGTTGATACTGGTGCAGAGGTAAGCGTTATACCTCAATCCTAGGAAAAACGCCCTGCGACCAACCGGAATTACGTTACAGGCGGCTAAGGAAACCAAGATCGCGACGTACGGCCAGAGACTGCTTAAGCTTAACCTTGGATTACGACGTAATTTTCACTTCGTCTTCCTGATTGCGGATGTACAGAAGATCATCATTGGTATTGACTTTCTCACCAAATTTGGCCTGGTCGTAGACCTGCGTTGTGGCAAACTGCGAGACGGTGCTACATCGTTAACTGTTTCCAGGCAACTCACTACGGTCAATTCAGGCTTCAAGTACTTTTGCCTAAAGAGTTGCGGTACTCGTCATTACTTCAGCATTTCCGCTCTCTGATTAGAGCAGATGACGGCAGTCTGAAGCCCAAGCACGATATCTGCCACCATATCGTCACAACCGGTCCTCCTGTGTTTGCCAAGCCAAGACGCCTTGCACTGGACAAATTATAAGCCGCCAAGAAGGGGTTCGAACACATAGTCAACCTCGAAATTATTCGCCTTTCCAAAAGCTGTTGGGCATCGTCGCCAAATGTGGTGCCAAAGAAGATCAGCAATTGGAGACCATGTGGCGACTACCGGTCGCTCAACAGTGTCACTGTCCCTGATAGGTATCCAAATCCCCATAACCATGATTTTTCTAGCAACTTGCACGGAAAGTCTGTTTTCTCCACAATCGACCTAGTTCGTGCATACCATCACGTTCCTGCTGCTCCTGACGACATTCCAAAGACCGTCATCACTACCCCCATCAGTCTCTATGAATAAGTCCGTATGCCCTTCGGATTGCGAAACGCTGCCCAGACTTTTCAGCGGCTCATTGGTCAAGTCCTTAGAGGGTTATATTTCGTTTTCGCCTACATCGACGACATTCTAGTCGCCACCTAGCACATCTTCTGATCTTCGAGCGTTTTGCTCAGTATGGCGCGACAATTAACGTTGACAAGTATATTTTCGGCAAATCCTGTCGGTTTTCTCGGTCGTCGAATCGACCACAATAGTATTAGCCCACTTCCCAAAAAAACGCAGGCAATCGCGGATTACGCAATGCCTCAGTTCCTCAAAAGTTTGTGTCGTTTCCTCAGGATCGTCAACTTATTACAATCGTTTCATTCCAGACTGTTCCCGGCTACTTCAACCGCGGACGGATTTTCTAAAAGGCAAATCTCGAAAGTTTGAGCCAACAGCGGAAGCAACCGTAGCATACGATAAGGTCAAGCAGGTGTTATCCAACGCCACTGCGCTTAGCCACATGAGAACCGATGTTGACGTACCTCCCGTTCTCAGAACGGATGAATCTTTGCATATGTGAAGCGACGCCTGAAGCCGGCAGATGATGTGCCAGTGCTGGATGGTCCGGATGGACAGTCCTTAACCGCCAGCACTGAGCGTACGTCCGCGTTGGCGGCGCACTTCGCTTCTGTATTTGCGAATAACTAGGTGTCTGTACCGAGTTCGACGTGTACCGGTTTTACCAAGCTCGACAGTCTGCATTGCGGCGTTGAAGAGGTAGGTCAACTACTCACCAACCTTGACGGCACCAAACCTGCCGGACCTGATGGGCTTCACCCACTAGTTCTCAAGTCACTTCATCATCTCTCCTGTCATCACTGACCTTTTCAACAGGTCGCTGTCCGAAGGTTCGTTGCCGGTTGATTGGAAATGTTCGGTGGTGAAGCCTATTCCGAAAGGCGGCGACCCTAGCAAAGTAGACAAATGCAGGCCAATTTGTCTGACATCTATTTTGGCAAAGGTTGTTGAGAAAATCGTGAATAAGGGATTGCTGCAGTTGCTACAGTCAAATGAGGTCCTGACGTCCGCACAGCACGGTTTTATGCAATATCGCTCATGCATTACGAACCTGCTTGTGAGGAGGCATGAGTGGTTGAAGGCAATAAGCAAGGGGAAGTCCGTCGACGTGATATTCATCGATTTCAGTAAAGCGTTCGACAAGGTCAGCCATGAGGTTCTCCTTCACAAACTCAGGATGTGGTGTCGGTGGTTCACTGCACCGGTGGATCCGCGACTTTCTTGTTGGACGAAAGTGGAGGGTACAGGTCGACGACCATCTAACTGACTGGTACCCCTCTTCAAGTGGCGTGCCTCAAGGCACTGTGCTGGGGTCCACTCTGTTCCTGATCCACATCAACGATCTACCGCAGCTTCTCCGGTCGCCGTGTGCCTTGTTTGCGGACGACATGAAGAGTTGGAGAGAAATGGACGCTCCTGATGACTGTGGCCTACTTCAGCAAGACCTCAACCGCCTATCCACATGGTTTGCAGAAGTTCTTCTCCCGATCAACCCAGCCAAGTCTGTATTTATGAGCCTGGGGAAGGGTGCTGACGGCCGAACCTACACCCTTGACGGCCAACCGCTATATCTCACCCTCCGTGAAGGACCTAGGTGTACTCTCACGCTATGATTTGAAGTCCGTGGACAACACGAACAGGCTATATCGTAACGGACTGCGCATGCTTTGGGCGTTCAAACGTAGCTTCGGCACATGGTCTGAAGAGGTTGTCACTCGCCTCTTCTCTTCCCTCATTAGACCAATGCTAGAGTACGGTTCGCCCGCCTACTTTCTGATTACCCGAGGCGAGGCACAAAAGATCGAACGGGTCCAACACGTTGCTACCAGGCTGATCCCGAGTTTACGTGGCTTGGGGTAGGAAGACCGGTGCGAGAAACTAGGACTCTACTCTTTGTCCTACCGTCGGATGCGAGTCGACCTCATTATGACCTACCGTATTCTGCATATCGATGACTTCCCAATGCTAAGGCCAATGCTGCACTTACGAGGTCCATGCAGCACATGCGGACACAGATACAAACTTGTCGTGCCGGATGTGAAATGTGTTCTCCACCCACTATGCTTTGAACGGAAAGTGGTAAACATATGGAACAGTTTACCTGAACATGTGATTGAGGCAACATCTGTGCAGCAATTCAAAACGTTGTACTTTATACTTTACCACTATTCGATTCAGAGAACGTTTGCACATTTACGATGACATATCACATTTGTGAGCCCTGAAATATCGTAAGTCAGATTTTTGAAATGTTACATGAGAACGACAACGATATTTACGGTTGGCAACTTTTATAACGTTTTTCACCATATTTCGAAAGAGTTGTACAGAACTCATTTCTACTTGCTCTATAATACAGTATTCAGTATTCATAACTTGCCGTTAGAGCCGGTTTACAGCAGCTGACCAGTAACAAACCTGAACCTTGTCTTTTTCTCCAAAAAGCTACGGCCTGTTCAAACTCAATACAGCACATCCGCTGCCACCCCGCTGCCTTGCGGACAGGCGTTTGAGCCAAAGGCTTTGGATGAGGACCCTAATCGTTCTCCTGTCTAGGTCTGGGCGCCCTGGTAGTATCCCAGCCCACATACAACCATGACATTTTCTTCAAACGTAAACTTCATCCTGCATCGGCCGTCGCGCAGATTATCAAGGGTCGCCTTATCTGCTGCATACAGCAGGGCGGATAAGCGAAAGCATGCTACTGCTGGCGCCTCCCTTCTTTCTTTTCCACCTTTTTCTCTTGCTCCCATCCCGGCCCCTTTTACTAACCTTCCTTCTATAATTCCCAGCTTAATTGACAGCAACCGAAGTGCTACTGGAGTAGTACCGTCTGCAGCCACCAGCCCACAGCACCTATCGGACGCCTATCGGCAAAAGCTCCTTATAAGGCCACACTGTCCCGTTACCATGGCGACATTCAACGTCCGCACTCTAAGACAAACAGGTCAGCAGGCTGCACTCGCACGCACCTTGGACACACTGGGTGTTGATGTGTGTTGTGTGTCCGAAACTAGGATTAATGACCCTAACGGGGTTATTGAATTGACTGCACCCGGATTATCCTCTCGTTATTGGTTGCACGCATCCGGAGACGCCGATGCGGCACTCACGGGTCAAGCTGGTGTAGGTATCATTCTCAGCTCCAAGGCTGAGTCATCGTTGGTTGATTGGATTCCGGTGAACAGCCGTTTATGTGCAGCCCGTTTGACGACATCAGCTAAGGTGAATTCGCGAAGTAAAACAAAACGCTGTTTGTTTGTGATTTCTGCTTATGCTCCCACCGACTGCAGTCCTAATGCAGTCAAGGACACATTCTATCACGAACTGAACACGCTGCTACGCAGTGCTACTAATTCAGATATTATAGTACTTGCAGGGGATATGAACGCACAAGTAGGGCGTCTGAGCTCTTCAGAAGCTCAGCTGGGTGGTAAGTATGGACTTAACTCTGAACGGACTGACAACGGCGAGCGTCTTCTGCAACTGTGTGCGGAGCACCAGTTGTTTCTTACTAGCACTGCTTTTAGACGCAGTGGGCGCCGAACTACCACTTGGCGTCCTCCTGTAGCTGGCCAGCGATGGACCCAAATTGACCACATGGCCATAAGTTACAGGTGGCGCGGTTCCATTCTGGATTGCCGCTCGTACTGGAGTACCTGTGTCGACTCTGATCATGCCTTGGTGCGCTGTCGTTTCTCCATGAACTTTACCGGAAGGCGCACAAAGCGTCTCCCCCGATTGGCAACGGAGAAATTGTCCCAGCCCTCTATCAGGCAAGCCTATCAAGAAGCACTGCATAGCCAACTCTCGCTGTCTTGTCCTAATGACACTGAACTTCAGTGGAATAGGATCTCGGCCGCTATGCACGACGCAGGAGCATCTGTTTGTGGCACTATCAGTCGTCACCGCACTAGTCACTGGATATCCGAGAGGTCCGTGAACCTTTTGGAAGCTAGAAGGCATCTCCCGGCTGGTTCTGAACACAGTGTGACCAGACGGGCTATTAGGCGTGAACTAAAGCGGAGCCTACGTGCTGACAAGGAAGCCTGGTGGACCAGTCGGGCTCAAGAAATGGAGGAGGCAGGAGCAGTAGGCAATTACCGGAAGCTCTTCCAGCTAATACGCACCACTGGTCCGAGAAAACCAGGCGTCAGTGAGACAATCAGGGACAGCGCGGGTGCGCTGATACACAATAAGGAGCGCGCTATGGCTTGTTGGGCGGAACACTTTCAAGATCAGTTCAGCTGGCCCCCTGCTCCCGGACCTCTTCCTACTCAGGTGATGCAGGACGACCCATGGACGGTTAGTTTAAAGCCTCCGTCGGAGGCCGAGGTCCGAAACGCGATCACAGCCCTCAATCGTTTTCGTGCCGCTGGCCCGGATTCCCTCCCACCTGCACTATTTAAGGATGGAGGTGAGGTCCTCTGCAAAGCACTGACCTCCCTATTCGAACGTATCTGGAACGAAGAGTGTGCCGGCTAATTGGAGCGAATCGATTATAGTGGCAATATGCAAAAAGGGCAGTCGCACAGACCGTGCGAACCACAGGGGTATTAGCCTAACGCCAGTTGTGACAAAATTACTGGCCTCGATTCTCGTTCGTCGCCTCCCTGCAGAACGAGAATCTCGGATTAGGGAAGAGCAGGCCGGTTTTTGCCCAGGACGTGGCTGTATAGACCATATATTTACTTTGCGGCAGGTGCTAGAGCAGCGCCACGCATACAGCAGACCGACAATACCTATGTTCCTCGATTTCAAGAGTGTGTTCGATTCAGTCGATCGATCGATTCTGTTCGAAATACTTGCGCGAAAAGGTGTTCCCACGAAATATGTGAACATTCTTCGTGCTCTATACTCGAACACTAGAGGCCGCGTCAGGGTCTATGGTGCCCTATCGGATAGCTTTTCGACTACAAGTGGCGTTCGTCAGGGTTGCCCGATTTCCCCGTTTTTGTTCAATTTCGTCGTGGATTCTATCATGGAGTGTTCCCTTGCGGAATCTCACGATGTAGGTGTTGAAGTGCTGCCTGGTGAAAGGTTAGTTGATCTAGATTATGCGGACGATATCGTCTTGCTTTTCGACAATGTTGAGGCGGCACAATCAACCCTGTATAGCCTGTCCGGAGTGGTCCCATTATTTGGTATGCACTTCGCACCTTCAAAGTGCAAAGTGTTGCTGCAGGACCACCAGCCACTTGATGACCCCTTGACCCTTGCTAACGAGGAACTCGAGGTGGTTGATCAATGCACTTATCTTGGCAGCTGCATCAGCAATGATGGGCGCATAGAAACTGACGTCCGCTCACGCATTGCAAAGGCCAGAGCTGCCTTCTTGAACCTGCGTCATCTTTGGTGACAGAAGGGAGTTTCCCTCCGTCTGAAAGGTCGTGTATACAAGGCCACAGTGAGGGCCGTTCTGCTCTATGGTAGTGAAACTTGGCCCCTTCGGTCTGGAGACCTGAGGCGCCTTCAAGTCTTTGATCATCGTTGTTTGCGAAGCATTGCTGGTGTCGGATGGCACCAGCGTGTCCACAACGATGATGTGCGTAGGCGAGTACTAGATAGTCATAATCATGCTAGTTCCCTAGAACAACAGATAACACTGAATAAGTTGCGTTGGCTCGGGCACGTGCTACGCATGCCTGGTCACCGCTTACCTAGGAGGGCCTTGTTCAGTCTACCAGGTGTAGGCTGGCGCAAGGCTCGAGGTGGACAGAAGTTGACTTGGCAGCGGGAAATGAAGTCACTGACGACCAAACTGGGTGCCGTTGGTCCGTCTCGCCTTCCGGGCTTGAGTCCACGTGACTCGCCTTGTGCTTGGCTCGAGACTTTACAGGACATGGCTCGCAGTAGGCACCAGTGGCGCGTGTGCTGCCGTCTTCTAATCAGATTGCCTGTTTAAAGTGTGTTTGGTGCTGAGTTATCTGCGGGGTAATGGCTGATTATGACGCGTGGCAGTGAAAGCCGCAAGGAAGCTGTCTCGCCGATGCCGCCTTATCTTTGCACGATAGCCAGCTGTTTGTGACGGTATGTTGTCTACACAAGGCGTAGGCGCCTTGACCCTGAATGTTTGCTTAGGGTATTAAGGTTTTCAGGTAAGTCCCCCTTCTCTCCATCTTCTTGTTCTTTACTTATATTTCCTCATGGTTGTATGGCAGCGAAGCATCAGTTCAAATGGCTTATGTACTGCTGTTGATGATGATGATGATGATGACATCCGGTCGATAACTTCTGGCTATTTATCTTGCCATTAAGCACTTTCGACATCTATTTAAAGGAGGTACCTCTATTGTTCTTACGGATCCCAAGCCGCTAACTTTTGCCTTCCGCGGTTCCCCCGATCGATTTTCCCCTCTTAAGACTAGTCATTTAGACTACCTATCGCAATTCACGACATACATTCTTCACGTTGATGCTACCGGCAACACCGTTGCTGACGCAACGTCTTGCATGCATTACCCCCGGCTCACGCCAAGTTATTAACTTCGACGATATTGCAGCTCATCAAGAAGACGATCCTGAGTTCGAGGACTTAAGAGCAAACACTTCACTTAAACTGTCTCAGCTGCCTGTGCTTAATTCTGACTAAAGTCCATTGTGATTTATCAACCGGAAAGTCAGGACTTTTCGTTCCAAAGCAGTATCGGAGAATTATTTATGATGATCCGCATGGCCTTTCAAATCCTGACATTTGAGCCATTGTCAAGTTAATCGCCGACCGCTGTGTAAGGAACAATATGCGTTCCGACATCCAAAAGTGGGCGAGGCACTATGTCGATTGTCAAGCTAGCAAAATACATCGACACACAATCACCGTACCTGGTGCATTTGCGTTACCTGATGGTGAATTTAAACATGTGCGCCTTGACATCGATGGACCACTTCCCCATCCAACGGTTTCCAGTATATTCTGACTTGTGTCGACCGTTTAGCACGATGGTCTA